TATATATATATTTATTTATTTATTTATGTATCTATTTAGTAACAAGTTGTTTTTCTTTTACATTACACATTTTATTTCTCTCTTTCTTAATTTTAGTAAAAAAAAATTGTTCAATCATAACATTTCATAAAAAGTCACGTTACTAAACAAAACAAAAGCATGAACTTTTTATATTATATATATTTTTCATTAAATAGTAAATAACAAATTATGTTGGCCGAAAGTGACTCATAACTATGATCAAATTTAAATTATGATGAAACACCTTGCACTAGATTTGCAAAGGTGGGAATGAGTTACTATTGGGCATGACACGAGTGTGCAATTGGAAGTGGTGGATCTGAAAAGGAACCATTGAGTATTTTATTGGCAATCCATCTATTTGCAGCTTCGGTGTAGTGCACTCCATCCCAACTAATGTACTTGGAAGGATCATCGCAAGAACCTGCGAAAATTTCTTTTCCTTTAATTATTGCTTTGTTCCGACAGTATAGGTGATATCCATCTTCATGATACCCACAACAGATTTCAGAAGGGTCCACAAATCCTGCAATTCAATATCAAGATTTATTAAGAGAGTGACTTGTTGCACTAATTTGTTGATCCATCAATGGAGTGCATAATTTCAAGTTGAAATTTCACGTCACAACATCACGCTTAAGTTTTATGTTGATATAGAGTTTAATTTTAATACGTAAAAATTAGGTTAAATATATAATTTGAGTCTCTAAATACTTGGTATAATTTCACTTTGTTCCTTAATATAAAATATTATTAAATCAGTCTTTATGCATTTAAACATAATTGATTTGATCTATGTTATTATATATTTTTTATTTGATCTCTATAGGTACAGTGTACTCTTAATTCGGCTCTTATATGTATAACATACTCTTAATTTTTGGTTCTTAGACTACTTAAAATGAAAATGCATACATATATGTAAAAATCAAATTAAAAGAATGTGTTTTAGAATTAACATTTCACATATGTCGATAATTATGGACCAATATGATAATATTCCTATGTACATATAGGACTAATTTATATATACTCATTTAGTAAATTCTTTTATATTTGAGGATCAGATTGATATCAGTGTCACATAAAAATTAAACTATACATTTATTATATGACCTGTAAGTTTATTATTATAATTATTATTATATAAAGACCAACAATGCATTTCAATTAAATCATTATTAAAATAAGAGAGAGAAATAATATAAAATTTGTGAGATTGCAAGCATCAAAAAAAATTGATAAATTCAATTGTGATGGTGTCAGATCAGTATTACCTTCTTTATTTGCATTTGTATAATTATAATTATAAAAAGACTTACGATTGAATAATATTATATATAAAAAAATCTTTATACACTTGCAATATATTTCAATTAAATCATTCACAATGATTAAAAAAAAAATTATCATGTGAGATTGCAAGCATTGACCAAAATTTATAAATGCACTTGTGAATTGTAATGATGTGAGATCAGAATCAGTTACCTTCTTTATTTGCATTACTGATTAGGTCATACTTAGCAGAGAACATGTCAACATAAATTAATGAGGCATGTGGGAACTCTGCCCTTAGTTTAACCACGATGTTCTTCAGCTTTTTATTAAACTCTCTTGCCATGTCGTTTTGATAATTGATACAGCCGTTTTGATCAGTGTACCCTTCCACCGGAGTAACATTGCTCTTGGCATTGTGAATGGGCATCGACACTGGCAAGCATCCAATGGGACCTGTGTTATGTATCCAAAATGTCTTTGCTCCTAGTCCAAGTAAATTCTGAAAAACAAATGTTGTTTTTATTACAAAAATATATATATATAACTAAAAGGTAAGATGAGAAGTATGATATCTATATCATAATGATAAATACTACTAAGACTTGTTCTAACATTTTCTTTTTAATATTCTTTTTATTGTTAATTGAAAATTATAAATTTTAATAACCCTCTAAATCAGAAAAGAGACTCATTAAATAAGATGTGGATTACAAACTTTATAATTTGTACAATAAGTTACAATCATTAATTTAATTATAACAATATATAAAAAAAAAATATCCCATTTTGACGTTCACATTTTTAAAGATGATTATACTCTTATGTTGTATTTTTACCTCACTAATTTATATTTAAAGATAAAATAAGAATAATATAAATATATAAGAAAAAAACTTTAAAAATAATAACTATTCACTTTTTTTTAAATACTAATTTATTTTATTTTTTTTATGGATGTACGAGTGTCTTTTATATTCTAATAAAAATAATATTAATGACGAGTGTGAGAAATAGTATTGTTAACACTTTTTGAATAAATAATGAGATAAAGAAAGACAGAAAAAATGTTATAAATTGTTATAGTAGAGTATTAATTAGTACTTGTCTCGTTAAATTATAAAAGTAAACACTTACTCGAACTTGGTTTGCAAAGTAATCCACAATATCTGAGATCACTTTATTAGAATCTTCCTTGCCCACGTTGTTAATAGCAGCTGCAATATCATTTTGCCCAATATCAAATGTGTAGATAGCCTTAGCAAATTCCTCTGGCCTCGGAAAGTGTCTTTCGAAGGAGTTTCTCCTTCCTGCATATCACAAACATTTAAGTTACTATAATATAAATCCACTTTATATGTTCGTGTGTTTATGCTATGCATATATTGGGAAAACCTTGGTTGAAGAACTTTTCAGTGCGTTGCTTAAACTGGTTGAACTGTTGAGTCTGGATTTCAAAAGTGAATGGAGTGCCACCCTCAAAAACTGTCCTGTTTTGCCTCCTAATGGTTGATGATCCTGCAGCAAAGTTTGCACCATGCCTATAACTTGTTCCGATTGAGTTTATGTATGCACTCAAGAATGGGAAACCCAGATGATTGGCTGCACATATAAATGCCACCCAAAATCATTATTTTCAAATATATAATCTTGTACTAAATGTTATATTTCTTATGTATCACTTTGTAGTCAATAATTAAGTATGAAGAATATAGTATTATAGTTTTTGATTGGTTACTATTAAATAGATAATATTATATCCATTTAAAAATCAATTCTTATATAGAAAAGTTATGCTGAGAGATACACAAGACTTTCACGATACAAGGCATTGGTATAGAATTCCAGCTCTATTCATGTGGGTGGCTAGAGATGGATCGATGTGTCGGTGGATATATATATAGCAACAAAAGAGTTGAACAAGGAATTCAATCTTTGTGAATCAAAACTCAGAAAGAAGATTATAGTAAATTATATAGTTTGTTTTGTTATGACCCAGCATAATGATAAAGAGAAAAGAAAAAGCAAAGAGAAATTATCAAATATGTTATTTGGTTATCTATATTGTATTAGTATATGCATGTTTGGATTCATATCCGAAATTCATATTTAAACTAAAATCATATTGATTAATGGAGAAATTACTCTTTATTATTTCTATCGGATACATTTATTAATAAAAAATAATTTCTCGATTAATTCTGACTTGAATGTAAATTAGGTTGTGAATTTAAACATGTTCTTAAACATCAAATTGATGAGTAAGAAATGAAACAAAACTATATGTGAATGAAAAAAGTTTACCAATGAAATCTATCATAAGGCGTCCATCAGAGGCTCTACCAACAGGCTCATGGAAGAAAGTTTCACCATAAGGCAAAACCTCAGGGTAAAATGCTGCAGCCATGCAACCAGTGTCTGAATTAGAGTCACCAAAGTTGAATATTGCTGGGAAATCACAACGTTGTGATGATGCAGTTTCCTCAGCTCTCAAACTCGGAAACCAAAAGAATAAGATAAAAGCAACATGTTTAAGGGACCCCATTGCCATGTTGCACTAAAACAACCTCGGTTTTGTGCAAGAGGTGCTTACATGTTTATATATATATATATATATATAGCATGTCAATGTATGCGTGCGTGCGTGTACCCAACGGCTAGAAGTCACGTGCATTACAAGCTTTGGTGTGAAGCATTGGAAGATAAACAAATCCACAGTTTTGACCACTTACTTAAATAATTTTCTGTGATTTGATTTAGTAAAATTTGATTACTCGCGCGCGATTGTCTTGCCTCGGGAAATTAATGGAAATAGGATCCAACTAGGGATCACAACGGGCTTGGTCGGATGGATAGTAGCTCTCCTTCATCCTGGGGGTAGCCATTTAGTATGTATTCATGAGTTTTTTTTAATATATTTTTCGGCAACTACGAATATTCATAGATATTTTAAATAACAAGAAGAAAAATTTTAAAAGAAAAGATAAAAGTAAAATAAACTAAAATAAAATTTTAAAACATATATTTAAATTAAGAAAATGATTTTGTAAGATATATTCAAATTAAAATAAATAACTATGACATATATATTTAGTATAAAAATAAATTAAATTAAAGTACTTTGTACTTTGTATATAACCAAGAATATTCCATTATTAAGTAAGTATCTTTTTAATTAGGGTTTAGGATTTAAAACCCTAAACTCTATTTAATTATCTATTTAAAATTTGTAATAGGTTTTATCTACATATATCCATAAATTCATATTTTTTTAGTAATCATCTTGATCTCCATATTTTGTTAAGCATTATATTCTTCTATTTTTAAAAAAATTAGAAAAAATAATATTTTTAATCAAATTTAAGAACTTGAAATTAATGGACTAATTATAACATCAATTAGATAAATATATTTATATTACTTAATTTTTATTTTTATTTTATTTTATTTTTAATAGAGACACGAAGTATCTCGATCTTACTACTATGTATAATTAATATCCATATTATCAAATCCGATTCAAATTAACGTAACAATATGCTTTATTATAAATTTAAATGAATTGGTTACAAGTCTAAACCAATTATGATGAATTGATTCGTTTATTCTAACTATTGTTTAGCTAGTTAATATATATCTATTTTCGCATAGATAAAAATTGCTATTATCTAAAAATATAATTCTCTTTAGCTTTAAATATATTGTCTAAAAGCAAGTAATTTTGATTATTAATAAATTATTTAAAATTGAAACTTATATAACTAAAAAATGAATATTTCTTTTGTCTAAGTGAGTTGGCGTAATGACTTCGCAAGACCAAAAAATGGAATGTAAGAAAATAATATATTATTTTTATTTCAAAATTTCATGTCTAAAATAATTGAATAAATGCCATTGAATTTTTATAATGAAAATGAAAAAAATCTATATCTACATGTAGTTAATTATTAACAAATTAATGTGACTAATTTTTCATCGGCTTGCCGGTCGGTTGGGGCTGGCTTTGATTGAAATGTTTCGTGCAAATTAATTGATGATTGATGGAGATTATAAGTAAAAGAGCAAACCAAGAATAGAATCTAGAACCAAGCACTTTCATTAATCTCGCATTATCACATTCTTTTGTGTATTTAACTAACAAGTATAACATATATATAATATATTAACTTATGAATATAAATTATTTTTACATTAATAATATTATATTTAATTTCAATATAAATTTTTTTACTTATATATATTTATATTGAAAAGTAAGAAATTAGTAAAAATTGAATTATATGATTCAATTAATGATCCATTAATTCGATTTCTAATTCACTAATTTAATACCTTGACCACATGGTGATGTTGGGTGTTACCCAAAACACGCCAACCGAATTAGCTTTAGATGGGTCCTTGACTTAGCGCTAGGTGTAGGGGCACCCACGTCAGGTTAAAATCAAGTAGAGAGGTCTTAGATCTCTTCACGTTGAGTGTGGGTACCACCATGCTGAGCTTAAATCTGATAGAGAAATCCCTAATCTCTCTACATTGGACGCGAGTCTAACCTCACTTGGTGCCACATTGTATCCATAATTATCTATTTCCATAAAAATAAAAATAAAAATTGTAATGGAGGAGCCTGTGAAAAGTAATTAGTGTTATAATTAATAAAAAATAGTAAAGAAGTTAATTATGTGATAAAAATGTATGAAAAGGGAAAACTAAGTGTAGACACCTAATTTTGTCTGGGGGTACAAAAATAAAGAAATGGACATTCAACATGAAGAAGGAGTTCTCGAAGGCCCGAAGACAATACCAGAGAAAGCTAACATAACACCCAGAGATCCAAAAGCACAAAGGCCAAAATTAGTAGCCTGGAATGAACTATTCCCAAATTGGAACGGACTGTTCCAAGGTTCAAAAATAGCCTAGAAACCCAAGGTCAGAATGAGTCATTCTGACCTAGTTTGTTTTGAGTTAATTCTAAATCCAGAATGGACCATTTTGATCTTGGAACGGGTTGTTCCTGATTCAAAAATTGCCCATAACAAACTCATCCAGAACAGGGTGTTTCGATCACCAGAACGGGTCGTTCTAGTGTGAGTTGATGCTATAAATAGGGGATCCGTGAACAATGCAAGGGGAGGCTTTTTTTGGCTTATTGAGGTCCCAGAATTTTAGTCTTTGAGAGTATCTATAGAATCCATATACTTCTCTTCTTCTTCCCTTTGTATTTCTAGAGTTCTGTGAGGTAATTGTAGTGGGAAAGATCGCCAAAAAAGGCCTAAATTTTGCCATTGAAGATCAAATAAAACTCGGTCTAGAGGTATTTCATAAAAAATTCTTCCTTTAATCCATCATTCTTATCATACAATATTGCCAATCAATAAAAGTAACCATGTAAATATCTTAGGTGAGATCGTACGATTTTAAATTCTAATGTAAATATTTTTGCTAATAAAAAGAGGAATAAATATTTGAATTATTATTCCATATTATGTTAATTTCATCATGAGGGTACCGATTAAGGGTGTTATGGGGTGTTTAACACCTTACATACACGTGACCGACCCCTAACCCAATTCTAGTTATAAAGGCCAAGTTGGCATTTTTCAAAAATCCTTTTATTTTTCCGATAGTTTGAGTAAAATATTAGTGGTGACTCCCATAAACCATTTTTCAAAACTATTGATTAAATATTAGTCTGGTATCAAGGCATTCCTTGATTGATAAGATTTTCAAAACGGAAGTTCATATCATCTATGGACAAGATCAAAATTTTTTGGGTTTCGACACTAAGGAAGGGCTATAAGTGTGAGAGGGAAAGTAAATGATATGATATTTTGTCAGTGAATGATGAAAATACATATAGATGATGTATGTGTGATATATGATTGATAATGAAGTGTATATGGTGATGCATGTTATGATCAATTGATATGAGATGAGGCAATGATGTGTTGATCATGCAAGTCCAGATTACAATTGACATTGATGAGATCCAAGTAGGGCTTGATATATGGTGGGTAAATCCAGGATTTCAGTTTGGAAAGTATCACCTAATATTTGATGCATATGTAATGGTGTAGTGTTGTTGTTTGTAGAGTCCATGCATATATGTTTTGTTGTCGGGCAGTGCGAGTCTATATATGCAGAAAGGTCTCGAAGGTCATCTACCTAGACCATATGGTGTTCTAACAAAATGTTTAAGCTGAGAAAATAATAAATTTTGGTTAAAATACAAAGTTTAAGCTGAGAAAAAAACAAAGAATCATGTTACAAGAAAGACGTGATAAAATTCTATAGAACAAAGTACAACTTTACAAAGAAAGAATAATGAATGGAGTATTTGCTTTTTCATTCTTCTCTCTAAGCTTGTCTATGCTTCATTATATGTGAGCAAAAACTAGAGATAATTGTTGTAAATTCTTGAGTTTCACTTGATGACTTGTTCATCTTGCTTTCTTGTGTTAAGATGTTTTTGTTGGTACATTTATTGTTTTTCACCAAATATATGGCAACTTTTTATCAAATTAAGGATGTTTGTTATCAACTTTAGGGTACAAAAAGAATCATAACATGTCAGAAATTAATTTTGGTTGACTTCATGTACTTCGAGTTATCTATTTGTCCTTTCTCGAATAGAAAACAAATCTCGTCCTTGTTTATATGTTCTAAGTATCAAAGGTTTTATTCCTTCAATTTGTTAAGGTATAAGTTGAAAAAAAAATGATAGGAACATCAAACATATTAAATATGTTCAGTATAACATATGGACACACATAAGTTTTAGTCTATATCGTCTTAACAAGCAATTTATAATATTGTCTTACAAATTAATCTTTTTCTACTTTACAAAAATGTCTATGTTTGCTATCATTAAAATATTTGTCTTGAGTAATCTTAATTTATCTTTTGATCTAACAAATACTATTTAAAAGAAAACTAATTTTTAAATTGATTTTGAATCATAAATCTATATTATAACTAACTTCCAAATGATTTATGATTTAAAATTAAATTATTTTTAAAACTAATTTTGGACCATAAATTAATTTTAAAATAGTTATTCAAAGTTGGCTTATGGTTTAAAATTAGTTTGAAATTTGATTTTTCAAAGATGGTTTATAGTTTAAAATCGATCTTAAATTTGATCAAATATAAAAAATAAAATAAAAAAACACTTTTTTGAACCACAAATCGGTTTTAAAATCCATTTTAGAAAATCCAATCCAATTAACATGGATATGAATTTAAATTTAATCCATTTAATTGGATATGAACCTGATATGGGTTGAATTTTCAAAAATTCAATCATTTCATTCTTAATCATATACTACCTTTATAATAATTATAAGTAACATGAAATAAATCATTAAGATTAAGAAAAATGATTGAAATGACTATTGTTAATTAATTTATCAAAAAAAAATTTATTTTAAAGATACTCTTTGTTTATAAAATTGTTAAATTTAATATGAATTATAATTAAATGTATATAAAATAGAGTTATCAACAAGCACTAGTGGAAAAAAAACTTTTAAAATTAGTCATTTTTTACTTTTAAAATCAGTTCTTTGACCAGTTTTAAAAGA